TAGCTAGGAGACATTCCCGGATGCTTTTGGTGAGCCATGGGGCTTTTGCGCCCTCCTGCCCCCTTTGATCCATGTTGGGATTACCTCCCTTTGGACTTGGAGGATCGTCTCCTTAAGGAGCAGCCACTCTTCTTGGACACCTGGCTCTCCTCCCCTCTTTAAAAAGAGCTCAAAATATTTAGGCACTTGCATCTTCTGGGGGTTTCAGTAGTTCTCTCTAAACTCCTACCTCTAACTTGTTTTAGGAGCCCTTGCAGTACACACAGGCTCCATTAAGATGAGTGGGTTATTATGCTAGGTGTTATACAGAGATTAGGAAAAGCTTATAACCAAAACAAAAAAGGTCAAAAGAATATCTCTTGTCTTTAGTTTATATATGGGGACCTGAACTACAAGGAGAGGAAATTACTTGTCCAGGATCTCATAGGCAGTATGTGTCCAATTGGGAATTAAACCCAGTTCTGTATCTCGGATGCAGATTGCTAGTTGTTGCTAGTGCCCTCACTGGAAGACTATCCTTTCTTACAGGGACAGTTCCAAGATCAGCTCTTTCCTCTGCTCATACCACTCCTCTCTTGTCTAACCTGTTCTTCACCTATTTCTCTGATGGCTTTTCTTCCTGTTTTTCAACCAATTCAGTGCTAGATCCTTCAAAGTTTATCCATTTGTATTTCTAGGAGTTCCCAGTGCCCCTTCCTTTTTTCACTGTTCTTCACAATTGGTTTTAGGTTACACACAGAAATAAAACACTGTCAGTTCCCCCCAGGACAAGCAGCTATAAACCTCTAAAAAATTAAGGAAGCTGTTTGAGAGTTGAACTTCCTCAGATTGAGATTTCCAGTCTGAAGAAGTCATTGAATTTTGCTGTGAAAAGAACAGTGGACAAATGCAGGTCTTTAATATACTTTTATGTATTCCAAGTTCATGCTGACATAACTCCAGTACACTGTAGTGGAATTTTCCTGCATGGATTGAAGATGATTGCTGCTAATATTGGGTGAAACCTGTAAATATGCCCATTTAAAAAAAAATTGTAAAAATTTACCTTATCTTTGTTATATCTTTCAGGCATACAGTTACAACACAGTTTTGCCTTTATTCTGTTAATTTTGTGTTCTCTGTTCAGAGGGCAGTCCAGCAACTAAATAAATAGCCTAGGCTGTTTTTTCCCCACCTGGTGCTGTTTTTCATAGCATTCCTACAAGTGCTTGCAGTTAAGTGTTGATGCCCTGGAATATTCCCATTTGTGACTTGCTTTCTCTCCCCCCAGCCCTTTTCCCCCTCCACACTCTTTTAAGATAATGTATTTAAAATAACAAGCCTAGGTGAAATTACAGCTATTGGCATGTCATGCAAGTTAGTGTTTCAGCTGAAAAGTATACTGTTATGTGTATATGATAAGAAAAAAGACATTTACCTCTACGGAGCTTACTCTGGACTTGGTCCAGTACATGCAGCTGCTGCTGCAAATTCTGACTTTTTATTTAAAGGCTTTGTGTTGTCATTCACGTGTACAGTCACAGGTGGTAGCACTCAACATGAACAAAGCTGGATAGCTCCATTGGGCCCAGTTTTATAGAGTACATAATCTTGTATGTGGAATACGCAAGTAGGGGCTGGTAGACGCATCTGATCCCAGGTGATGAAGTTTAGCAGATAAATTCCTATTAATAATTTCTTGCTCTAGCCAGTTCACGCATCTTATTATTGTGGCTGTAACATTGGATGCTACCTATGGAAACAGGCTATTGAATAAAAAAGATCAAGAGAAATAGGATAATTTCCTTACTGATTTGACAGCTGAAATAGCTAGAGCAGATAGGCAAATAGTATGAACTAATGCTCATTACTGATGCCGCTTTTATAGTAAAAATATTATAAATAGACGTGCTTTAATAATTATTATTGTAGAATGTTCTGCAGCTTTGCTTATACTGATTCAACTCTTAGACTCATTTATGTGCTTTACAAATGACTGGTGGTTTGGTTTGGTTTGATTTGTTTTTGTTTTTAATGAATAGCTTTTGATATTGGTTAGTCATGTGGATCAAAATTCCTCACATGCAAACCTCTTGCGCATTTTCACATATCTGAGGTTTTTTTATGCTGCTAGTTGTGTAAATGAATTAAAAATATTAATATGGAAAAATTATTCCTACAAGTTTAGGCATAGGCTGCATACAGATGTTCAAATAATCTGGGAGAATTTTCCCAGGTCTGTTTTCCTGCTAGAAAAACTTACCTGGCGATGTCTGAACAGATATTCACATGCTGGGCCCCTGAAGAGCAGAGAGCTGTGCAGCCAGGAGGCTCCTGTGTGCATATCTCCGCATGCTCTGCAAGCTCCCGCAGTCTGCCTGGAGACAAAATGGCAGCAGTTCACAGGGCAGCTCTGGGCTAACCCAGGCTGCTCAGGGTCATTCTGTCTCCCTGCAGCACACTGGATTGTGAAAGAGTAAAGAAGGCACGTTCTGGTTCCTGCTCGGCTGGGGTAGCGGAGTCCAGTGAATGACATAATGTTTCCTCCCATCCACCCCCTGCCACTTGCTCTTTTTTCAGTGTTGGCAAGCTCCAGCCTTGCTACAGCGTGGAGCACAGCCCCAGCTCAGCCCCATAGCAGCAGTGCAGAGCCAGCACTGTTGCTGTGCGGCTAGAATAGGGCCGTGCTCCATGCCCCAGGATGGAGATGGGGCAGAGCCTGCCAGTGCCAGAGCAAAGATAAGGGGAGGAAGGAAAATGAAGGGAAAGGGGAGCAGGGCAGGCCAGAAGAGAGGGAGAGGTAGGGGGCGCAGATGTGGGAGAGGGGTAGGCAGCAACTGTGACTTTTAACCCTAACCCTGGGTTGGGGCCAGGACAGCTTTGACTCCAGCCCTGAACTGGGGTTGAGGCTGTAGGCACAGCCACAGCAGCTGCCTGCTCCCCCGCTGCATCATACTTGATTCCAAGATATGGGGCTTTCCCCCCATGTTAAATGGGGTGAGTGAGAGGGAAACATTATCTTGGAAATCAAGTAAATACAGTAATATTCTTCAGGATCTGTCACCTCCTGTCACTGTAAAGAAGCTGCATTCACTCACTTACTAAATGTAATTGCAGACATAGTTGATCTCATTTATGTAGGTTATAACTGGGAGTGAATTTCAAATTTTGTTTTATGGTTCTTCTCCTTCCAGGCTACTACCTTGTTTTTAATGTTACATAATATCGATCCTATTCCAGTCTTTGCTTAAGAAAACTTTAACCTTATTATTCAGTTCATACTTTTTCTCTCAAAAACATTGATGGGGTTTTTTTTTAAATTGACAGACCTTAGAATTAAATTACATGACCGAAGTTCTGAACTGTGACCAACAGTCTTAGGATCCCACTTGAGAAGTGCCTGCAGCTTCAGTTTTTAAAATGTGGTTCACAGAACTGTATCAGAAACAAGCTTCTTTCATATGACTCTACTTAGAACATACAAGGGAGGCAAAATCCCTAGTTGTTTTTTTTTTTGTTAAATCTTGGCTTATGAGTATAATATGGGTGTCTGGTTAATAAATTAATTCCAATACAGAGTGATTTTTATAATTAGTAAACTAGACTTTTTATATTTGATGTGAGGATTTAAAAAAATATTTAACCTTATTTCTGTTTTGTTTCAGCCCTGACAACATGGGGCTGCTTGACCCAGCAACTAGTGATGGCCGAGTGATTTTCTTCCTGCCGTGGGAAAAGATGACTGTTGCTGGGACAACAGATACTCCAACTGATATCACTCCTCACCCAATACCTAAAGAAGAAGATATCAACTTTATTTTGAATGAAGTGCGCAACTACCTGAGTTGTGATGTTGAAGGTAATTTTTTTAGCTCTGTTTTTCACTGGAAGCAAACTGACGCATCTGGGGTGTTTTGAAAGAAAGAATGCTGTTTTGTGAGACAATCTGATAACTGTTTCTGATGTACATGGGATATTCATCTTGCTTTACCTTTCATGGTTATAAAAAATGCTGCTTTTCCAGACATGTATGCACACCCTAGACTAGTCTAGGTAAAATCAGCTGATCTCTAAACAACCAGTCTGAGTTCTCCTTTTCAACCAAAAATAGTATTCATCCTTGACCACCTTCATCTGCTTCTATAGGAGTGGAGGGAAAGTGCATGATAATGTCTGTTTCAAGAGGAGCGTGTTTGAAGAAATGAAACTGTTCACGGATACATGTAGCATCAAAACATGAGTTCATCAAACTTTTAGTCACTTTTTTCCTTTGACTTTTTCCAGGTCTTAGTGGTATTTCCACTTTTAATCACTTAATACTAATACTCTTAAGTTGCAGACTTTCTTAAAGATTGAAAGGTATCCAACATGATCAGTTTTCAGTTCAAGAGAGGGGAGGATTAAAAGGAAATGGTAGAAAAAAAGTATTTAAAAAATTATAAAAACATGGTGATCACTATTTAGTAGCTTCTTACTATCTTTGTGCTACCCAACACCTTTCATGGTTGTTTTAAAATGCTTTTGTGAAAGGGTTTGCAGTTTTGGGTTCCTCTCATAGCAGAAACATTAAAATAAATCAGAATATCTGTTGGGAATGTAGCAGTGTCTGGTAATTAGATTTAGGAGGCCTGCTAGCCAGAGGTTGAGCATTCTAGATTACTTGTTTGTTCTTCCCTGAAATGGATAATTGATAGTTCTGTTTTTGTACCTACTTAAGAAAAATGATCTTTAGAAAAATGTACCATTTGAGTCTCTTATGAAGAAGTTAATCAAAATGATGTGGCATGCCAGGACAGTAGTTGGTTCAACTAAGCTATGAATAAGACAGGATTTTTTGCAAGATGTTTTACACAAGTAGTTTTCTGCAGTGTTTAATGCTTCTGAAGGAAACTTGCCTAGGTGCACGCTGTTTTTCACGTATGCAATTAGCAGTGTTTATAGATTGCCTGTTATTGAATTAACAACTGTGCTGGCCATATCAACTCACTGCAGACCTGCCTTTTTGCTGCCAGAAACAGTGCCAGGGTTATCAACTTACACAGGCTTGGATGTGTTCCAGCTGTTTAATTATAGTGTCACGCATGCTGCTTTTTCTAGTTTCATTAGTTTATAAACGTAATATGGTATCTTATTCTGTGATTAGCACTTCATTTTGGCAGGTTAAACATTCTAGTAGAGCAACAGCAATTTCTGAAATCTTTTCTAGATCTTCTGGGACATTTTTATTCAATATTATCAGGGTTTTTTTTTCCATTGATCAGTTTTATAAGATACCTGTATCTAAAGTTATACCCAAATGCTTCAGTATAAAGTACATTTTCAGTTTTTCCATCGTAAATTTAATAAGCTACAAAATTAAGTTGATGAATACCACTGCTGCTTTCATTTTTTATTTAAAAAGTGAAATCATCTACTTTTGTCTTGAATAAGAACGCTGTTGTGGTTTAAACCACTGTATTATTTGTTAATCCTGTTTGTAAAATCTGCTAAATTTTGTTTGTATTGCTTGAGTTGCTTGCCAGTTTTAAAACACTTTGGTATTTACATAATCTAAAAAAATGATAAAGCTCCTGTAGTATACAGGACAAGGAACACTTTTTAATTACAATAATTAGTAAATTGTCCTCAGTGCAAAAAAAATAGTTTTTGCTGAATGCTAGAAAATGTAAAACTTGTGTAGGTTCTATAGTGGTCAAAGCATACCTGTTTGTTTAATTGTACATTGTCTACTGTAAGTATTTGTGAGGATCCCACCTTCATAGGGTCTATGAGAAAAAAGTGTTACATTGCTGAAGCAAAATGGTTAATGTCTTTAAGACATTGTATTTGTTGTGGGTTATAAGTGAATGTTTTCCAACTTTTTTTTGGAATATGCCAGATGTTCAGGCAAGTTATTCTGCAATAAAATTGTATTGTATTGGGACCTGGCACCTGCCCTTCCTGCCCCAGCACACTGGGTTTAGGTTCTGGGAGCCTGGTAGCACCTCCTCTCTTCCCTCACCTCTATCGCCAGTACTGGGCCCTGGGGCCTGGCATGACCCCTTCCCACCACCCCTGCACATTAGGATTGGATCCTGGGAGCCTAGCATTGCCTTCTCCCCACCTCACAACAATAGGATTGAGCCCTGGGGCCCTGTGTGGCCCCTGCCCAGATCTGCATACTGGGATGAGTATCTGATCTGGCTTGCCAGGGAGTGGTGCCACTCCCGTACCACCAAATTGCCAAACCTGTGGGGAGCCTCGTTGGCTTGATGACATGGCACTGGAGGCTGGATCTGGCCTGTGGACCAGGGATTAAGCATTCCTGGTCTAAGGACCTGCTCCCCCTTTCGGTGAAACTGGTGCCTAAACTCCCATTAATTTTATGAGGATTAGGGACAGCCCTGAAATTAAACATAGCACATCAAGGAATTAAGCCAGAGGTGCCAAACATATGAACTGTGAGCTCAATCTGGCCTGTGGAGCCTTGCTATCCAGCCCCCAGTGCTGCCCTGGGGCTGATCATACCCACACTGGGCACCATGCACACCTGTGAAGTAGGGTCCATCTGGGAGGTAGATCTTGCACACAGACCCTCTCTTCCTTTCCTCCTTCATACTGGATCTGGCAGCACCTGTTTTGTCCATTGCACCTGTTTCAACCAGACCAGGCGCATCTGCATGTGTGCTTTAATGTGCAGGCAGCTATTTTACTATGCATTAAAGCATCATGTAAAAACCATGATGTTACGCTGATGTGCTGTAAATAGTCTACTGAGCACTGAGCATCACTAAAGTGTGCAAATGTGCTACTGCGCATTAGTACAGTCTAACACACATTAATTTAGTACCTCACATTGGAGGTACTACATTTAATGTGGATTAGAAAAGATGCTAATTCACATGTAGATGTGCCTGCTGCAGCCTGCACTGGAGTGGCTTCTGTGTGTCGTGTACATCCCAAAGCAGGTGCTGTGCTTGGCACAGTCTGGGCCAGGTGGCCACAGCATGCAGCACTGCTGCTGCTCTGGCCGGAGTGCGCCACACATGATGCCCCTTCTGGGATTTGTGCCACACGCAGCCTGGGTCCCATACTAGCTGGAGCACCTGTCAGATTCAGTATGCCAAGGGATCTGGCTCTGCACCACTCATCTAGCTAGTGCGGACACCCCTAGATTAAACAAAAGAAGAGAGGTGGAGGAAAACGGGAGTGGAATAAGAGAAAGCCCGATAGAGTCGTCTTTTACATATAAAATATTAATGTTTGGATACCTCAAAGGATAATAAGTCAGTGAAAAGGGAAGCAGTCGAAGAATGAGGGTCTCTGCTGGAAACTGAATTTGAAGACATGTAAAGCTTTTAATTCAAGAAGCTTTTTGAACAGTGAGTAGTGGTGATGCTCTCAGAAGAGCAATTGGACAACATGTATCACGTTAGTTTCTTCTGTTTTATATTTGGTGTATGCTGGATACCTGTCATCTCTAAGATGGGGATGGAGAAAATGGTATTTCATTTACCTGGGTATATGTTTCACCTTTTATGAAAACAAATTTTTGTTTTCACTATAATTTTGTTTAGCTGTCGATCCAGAAAGAGTTCATGATGGGTTCAGAAAAGCCTACAGTGTTTTGTTAGAGTAGCCATTATGCACCAATAACAAAATGGTTTCCTCATGAAAAGAAAGCGGTAACTGTACTATTTCCTATATGCATTTCTTCTTTAAAAGTGAAGAATGAAGTGCCATAATGGCAACTGCAATAATCCTTGTCTGACTGATCAGAATGGTCCAAAGGAAATGTTGCTGCTGGAGTATTCAAGAGATATTTGGTGGAGGGGTGATGATTATTTAATTTCTGATGGAAATCAATCAGAGATTGCAGGTTTTCAATCTAAATGATGATGTCACCTATATGTCTTAAGTATAGCAGGGGCTTGATGGTGCAGTCCTTAAGGAATTCTTCTTCCAAGTGGCTCATAAAAAGTTTGGCATGTTATGGTGCTATTTTGGAACCCATAGCTGTGCCCATGGTCTGGAGGAAGTGTTGGTTATTGAAACTGAA